TAACAAAACCATATAGAAATGATTTGTTGTTATATCATGACAGCAAGAAAGGCAAGCTTCCAGATGATTTGTCCTTTGGATGCTCATTTAATTCATGTGGACCCCGTCGATCTAGCTTCTTTAACTTGATGATTTGTTTCAAATGCAACAATATTGTTGGAATAGTAATGTCAAAACTTGCTGCTAATTCATGCTGAGGTGGAGATAGATTCCCTTCCACGATAGCTTTCAGCCCATCATTATCCACCTTGGCCTCAGGTCACCCACAGGGTTCATCTTCCAGATTACAGTCTCCAAAACAATTTCTCCAACCTTCAATGTACTGTGTATTCGTTAGCCACATCCTTTTCAAACACATCATTGATATTTCAAGCTGTGCTGTGTTGGTTCCATGAGGAAACTCATACTCAAAAATAACATAAGTTTTTGACTTTTCTATGATTTTGCAAAAATTGTTGTTAAAATAAAACTGTGAAAGATAATCATAAGCCAAAAAGTGCATTTGAAAGAATGAGGATGTACCTTCACAATAAAAATAAAACAAGAAGAATCAAAATGAAATGTCAGAGATGCCAACTGTCAAACTTAGTACTTGAAGAAATTGGACATTTCATACTTAATAACCTGAATACATCACTCCAGTCATAGCAGATTAACAGATCCAGATGCTCTCATTTCTTTTCAATGTATCTTGCATCAGCAAAATCTCTGTGCTAACGCTGCTATTTTAAGTGACATTTTGCAACAAGTTATAAGTATTGTTAACTACATTTTTTCAAAGGCAACATGGCATCATCAGTTTTGTAGCATGCTAAAGTTGAAGGGTAAGTTATTCAGTGTAGATTTGTTAAATAATTCTCAAGTATGTTGGCCATTGCAGTAACAAGTTTCAGTCAAAATTTTATCTCTATGAGAACAGATAGTTAAATTTATGGAGAACAGAATCAGCAATGTAGATTATTGAAAGATTTCTTTAAGAATGCAGCATTTCTGTGTGACATCATGTCAAACAAAAACAACTTGAATATTTCTTTGCAAGGTAAAACTAAGTCTGTATATGATACGTGGCAAAACAACAACAAAACTAAGCATTTTGAGGAAAGCTACCTTTTTTCAAAATACTTCTTTTAAAGGAAATTTCAGGTGAACATTTTCCCCAGTTACCAAAGGTCATTGATGAGCAGGATGACATATAGGAATCATTTGAAGAATACACAGCTATTATAGACCTATTAATTGGAGAATACAATGAAAGGTTCACTGACTTTGAGAATCATAACATCATACTCAAATTAGCATTTCAGCCTCACGTAGTTGATGTTACCAAAGCACTTAAAGAACTACAGATAGAATTGACTCAGCCTTCACTAGATGACATTCCAAAGTCATTCTTTGATGCTAAGAAAGATCTAACGATACAAAAAAATGTAGAATACTCATGCCTGCCGCAACATGTCCCCAAAATGTTTTCTTGCTCTTCAACTACTTCTTGCTGTGAATCTACATTCTCCTGCCTAACCCAAACCAAGACACTCTTATGGTCACAGATAACTGATACCCATCTAGAGAATCAATTGAAACTGCAAACCCTCCATGATGACAACAAATATTCAAATAATTTCCAAAAAAAGCAGATACAACAAAGTCATTAAACTGTTAATTAGCTTTAAACTTAACAAACAGTTTTCATTTCTTGAAATTATTATAGTAGTTAGATCCTTATAAAATAATATGCATTTTTAAATACATCTAATTGAAGTTTCTTGAATCCAGCCTGATTTTATTATAGCTAAATTAACACAGCCTTCAAGGTTGAAAAGGTTCCTCATCCCTGTGCTAGATATAAAAAGACTTGTAGGACACAAATTCTTGATATCAATAACTTTACAATCCACTTGAAAAGTATCCATAAATATAAAAACACTGCACGTAGGTAAAATTGTCAAATGAGTCATATAGTGAATAACAGGGATCATAGTTTAGGGGAGGGAGCAGTGTATGAGGACCTAACTAATTAAGGAAGACTTCACTCAGTCTTAGTATCTATTGAATGAATTAATAAAATACATGTCTTCGGATCTGAGTACAGCTTTCAGGGGTGCCATCACACTTTTTCCCAACCTACCAAATATGTACAACACGTACTCCGATAAGACACTTCTGCCTCCTGGGAGCCCCTCCTTCAGCTGCCAATCCCCTTCTGGTTTTCCAACAGAAGCCTGGGGCCATTTATCTTCTTCGGCCATTGATCATTTAACCCACCAGCATCTATGTTATAGAATATGAGGGTCAAACCTGTTAAGAATGTTTCTGAATGAACTTGTCCTTTGGATGGAACAAACTCACTTTTTCTAACTCAAAGATCTCTACCAGCCCCCTTTTTGTATACTTGGAAAGGTTATAACTCTAGGGAAGCCTATGAACTTGTCTATGTTCCTATGGAGTCTCAGCTGTAAGCCATAACTGAAAATTTGCAGGTTCTCAGAGAAAATAACTTCCTTGGATATATCTGAACACATTATTCCTAAAAGAATAAAACCTACCCCCCTCACACACAACATCATTGTCATCTTAGCCACCTCCAGATAGATACTGAAGAGGATGAGGACCCTAGGCCAAGAATTTATAATAGTACATTCATTACTGGAGCAGTAACTCAAAGATTTTCTTCATGTAGCTAAAGGAAGAGTCATGAATTTAGTAGATATAACTTAGCCTTGGGTCCAATTCTTATTTATGGCAGTTCCAGAAAGAGCTCTATTATAGGAGCAGGAGATTAAAATTGGAGCCCTCACACACTGCTAGTGGCAATGTAAAATGTTGCAGCTATGTGGAAGAGTTTGGCAGTTCCTCAAAAAGATAAACACAGAATTAATACATGAACCAACAGTTCCACTCCTAAGTATATACACAAAATTGAAAACAAAGACTCAATTGCTCATATGCCAATGTTCACTGAAGGATTATTTACAATAATCAAAGGGAGGAAACCAACCAGGTGTCCATCAACCAGTAAGTGGATAAACAGTACACGAAATATCCAAACAATGGAGTACAGTTCAGCCTTAAAACAGAATGAGTTCTGGTATGTGCTACAACATGAATGAATCAAGAAATTATTATGCTGAGCGAAAGAAGCCAGACACAAAAGGAAAAGTATTGTATGATTCAACTTATATAAAATATCTAGAACAGGCAAATTCATAGAGACAGAAATTAGATTAAAAGTTACCAGGCAGAGAGAAAAGGAATGCTTATACACTGTTGGTGTGACTACAAATTTGTACAACTCTATAAAAAACAGTATGGAGATTCCTCAAAGAAGTAAAAGTAGATCCACAATTCAATCCAACATTTCCATTATTGGGCATCTGCCCAAAGGGGGTAAAAAAGACTTTTCTTTAAAAAGATATCTGTACTCAAATGTTTACTGCAGCACAATTCACAATTGCAAAGATGTGGAATCAACCCAAGTGCCCATCAATTTATGAGTGGATTAATAAAATGTGAAATATACATACACACACACATACACACACACCCCCATACCATGAAGTACTACTCAACTATAAAAAAGATGGTTTTGCAACAATCTGGATGGAACTGGAGACCATTCTCCTAAGAAAAGTATTTCAAGAGCGAAAAAAATCAAAAGAGAAATATTTTAAGAGCGAAAAACACATGTACTCACCATTGAACTGGAACTTACAGATGAGAACACATGTGCACAGAGGGAGGTAAAATTCAGTGGAAATCAAGGGTGTGGAGGCTGGTGCAATGAGGAGGGAAGAGCCAAAAATCTACCTTATGGGTACAATGAACACTATTTGGGTAATGGACACACACACCTATAGCTGGGACTCAACCATCACAAAGCAATCCACATAACATAAAACATTTGTACCCCCCTAATATTTTGAAATTAAAAAAAAAAAAAAAAACCTTAACAGGACCGGGAGAAAGGGGAATTAAGAGTTATTGTTTAATGGATACAGAGTTTCTGTTTGGGACAATGAATAAGTTTTAGGCATAGATAGTGGTAATAGCTGCATAAGATGCAAATGTAGGCTCAGCGCCTGTAGCTCAGTGGCTTAGGCACCAGCCACAAACACCAGAGCTGGTGGGTTTGAATCTAGCCAGCACCTGCCAAACAACAATGCAACTATAACCAAAAAATAGCTGGGCGTTGTGGTGGGTGCCTATAGTCCCAGCTACTTGGGAGGCTGAGGCAAGAGAACTGCTTGAGCCTAAGCGTTGGACGTTGCTGTGAGCTGTGATGCCATGGCACTCTACCCAGGGCAACATGGTAAGACTCTGTCTGAAACAAACAAACAAAGATGTAAATGTAATTAATGATACTAAATTATACACTTAACAGTTAAATAGCAAATTTTATGCTGTACACACACAGCAAGACACAGAACACATACATATGTACATATGACCACAATGAGTAAAAAGTGACAGTGGGAGCAGAGCACAGTGGTTCACACCTCTAATCCCAGCACTTTGGGAGGCCAAGGCAAGAGGATCGCTTGAGATCAGGGGTTCAAGACCAGCCTGAGCAACATAGCAAGACCCCCATTTCTACAAAAAAAAAAAAAACAAACAGCTGATTGTTGTGGCATCTTCCTCAACAATGCTCCCTAGTTCCATCTAAAGCTGGAGGGATCACTTGAGCCCAGAAGTTGGAGGTTGCAGTGCTACCTGGGGTGACAGACAACAAACCCCCCAGTCCAGGACATATTCTTGTCTTCTCTCTCCAGTAAAAAGTGATCATTTGCACCTCCTGCTTCCATAATCAGCTCAACAGGAAGTCAACCCTAGTGAGGGCATCTGAGAACTCTGGCCGGATTGGTGGTGTGGGTGGCTTCCTTCAGGATATTGCCCTTCACTTTCTTTCTCCACCCCCCAACCTCCCTTAGGGAAGTAGCTTGTTTGTCAAACAATTTAGTAGAACATTTCAAAGGTCACAAGACAAAAGCAATTACCAGTACATCTTTGTTTGCAACTGCAGTTTTATTCCCACACAAAAATCTAGTCATAGAAGGTAGGGAATTGCCATGAATGCCATACACCATTCAGATTTAGCAGAAAGCCCACAAAAAAAGCACAAGATGGATGCACTCAGCAGCTACTGTTCCCTGGTGACTGGGAAAGAAAAGCAGAGCAGATCTAACAGTGTAGCTGAGTCTTTAGGGGGACAGGAATGTTCAGGGTCAAGGGGAAAACAACACGGATAGTATATGAGGGATGCTTTCATTGAGGCAGGGACATACCCATGCTGGCAGGAAGAGAGGCCCTAGCTTCCCTCCCCTTGCCCAACATGCCATCCCAACTGTGGAAAGTTTGCCCAGTGTGTGCCAAGCAGCAATGCACAGACACAATCCTAGCAGCAAGAGCACAGAAACATGGTCAGAGAAACGGGCAAAGCAATCTGGAAGTTATGGGTTGATTTTCAGACCCAGACACAAAGCCAGCTCAGACTTCTGAATTTTTCCATCCTTGTTCACATCGCAGTGACGCAAGAGAATCTCCCGGAACTTATCAAGGTCCACCCCGCTGATGCTGGGCTGAGGGTGACAAAAGTAACATGTCAGTAGCCAGGCCAATGGCAGTCTCGCCCTCTAACAACCTCCCTAAGCTCAGGGGGTGCCCTGCCTGCTGAGAGCACTGCAGAGCAGCCAGGTCACAGGGGAGAGCCTATCTCCTCATCCCACCAAATGCTGCCAAGTGTAAGTTTTCTGCCATCAGCTTTATTTCTCAGCATGTCCCTGCAGGCCAAAAAAAAAAAAAAAAAAAAACTCTATTTCACATCATTTCCCTGCAGTTCTTATAGAAAGCCTGCCTTATTAGCAACTGTAATAAAGACATTTTGCTTCAAAGTATAGAATCATGATCATAAATTCTGTCTTGCAGTACTGATGAGAGAAGACATATTTTATTATCTCCCTGTGGGAGGTTTCTGTGCCTCTAGTTTATAAAAAGTATGTAGTGAATGAAAATCTAACTAAAACATTATGTTATTGAGCTAGGGATATAAAATGTATTCAAAGAGATATTTTAGGGGCTGGGAAGGAATGTTAGGAATTCAGCTAGGCATGTTAGCTGGGAAAAGTTTGTGACCTTGCTGGGCAATTCAGTATGCATCAAGAGACCTGAATGCTACTACTGAAAATTGCATGTGTCACTGACAGACATACCACCTGAAGCCATTAGGGTCTCAGTCTTAATAAATAACAGTTTGTTTGTTTGTGGGGGGAGGGGGTTGCAGGTTGGGCTGGGGGTGTGCTTGAACTCACCACCCCCGGTTTATGGGGCCAATGTCCTGCTCCTTGAGCCACAGGTGCCACCCCTTAATAACAGTTTTGATAACAAGTCACCAATTTCATTGCAGGAAGTTCCTGATTTAAGGGCGCTGTATATGTTAACTGTGATCGTCAGAACAATCCTAAAAGCGTGTTATCTACTTGCAATGCAAATCTACAGATGAGTTAACTAAAGCACAGAGAGATTAATTAATCTGCTGGCACACAGCTGGCACATACTGAGAACCACAGGGAGGCTCCAGTATGCATCTCTTTATCACTACGCTGAATCATGACCTTTTAAGTAACAATGTCATTTTTTTCTCATTCATTTCATGGGAAAGTGTGAGGTAAAAATTGATTTTAAAATGCTTATCTGATTCCTGTAATACTGGCAATAGGGAGACCTCTGGGTCTGGCCCACTCTCCCCTGTTCTTGCCCACAGTAGGTGCTCAATTACATCTGTGGAATCAGTGAGTGACTGTCCTCAGATGCAGTCTTCATGTTTTTACTATATGTCCTCTCTTTTCTGTACATTCCACCTCTCTTAAAATAATGAAAGCGAGCGTTCAAAGCCTCTATTAACCAGTGCTTCCCAAATCTTCTCTGTGCTAGAGGCCTGGTACTATGTTCTGTTCTGTTTCCGACCACTAGAGGGACTGAATTAGTTTTGATGATAGTAAGTACATTTTCTTTTAGCTCATTTAGGATAACTATCTACCAATCAGAATATTTAATTCTCTAGAGCCTCATTCTCTAACTGTGCAAAGTTACAAAGTTTTCTCTGCTTCCACCTTGCCATTTACTGGCCACACAGATGCCTGAAAATATTGAGGTGACAGGCAGAAGCCAAGATGCTACTACTTAAGGCACCAGTCCAGGCCCATCCCAGCAAGCCTCTGTTTTTCTCCAAAAAATAATGATAATAAATCCCACATTCAGGACCAATTCTTTCCCCTGTTTATTGTCAATATCACCTGCCATTGCTTTTAAAAATGAAAATAAGGGATTATGTTGGTTTTTCCTTAGGATAATTTTACTAGGCAAATGAAAATGCCTGTTCAGATACCGGGGAAGTCTTCTAGAGAGTGCCATACCAAGTGGTTGTGCTGGCATTTAAGAAACTCAGGATGAACCTCTTAAGTTTTCCAGCTGTCTTCCTATCAACAGTTCCCACAATGCCCAATATTCTTCTTTTGTTAGATATTTACCCTTTTTTTTTTTTGAGACAGAGCCTCCAGCTGTCGCCATGGGTAGAGTGCCATGGCATCACAGCTCACAGCAACCTCCAACTCCTGGGCTCAAGTGAGTCTCCTGCCTCGGCCTCCCAAGTAGCTGGGACCACAGGCACCCACCACAACGTCCGGCTATTTTTTGGTTGCAGCCATCATTGTTGTTTGGTGGGCCTGGGCTGGATTTGAACCCGCCACCTTAGGTGTATGTGGCTGGCGCCTTAGCCACTTGAGCCACAGGCACCGAGCCGATATTCACCTTTTGGGGGTTACACTGCGTTCTCTTTGCCACCCATTCTCTCTTTTAAAAAATGCTTATCAGGCTGGGTGCAGTGACTCACACCTGTAATCCTAGCACTCCGGAGGCTAATGTGGGAGGATCCCTTAAGCTCAGGAGTGAGACCCCCTCTAACTGAAAATAGAAAAATTAACCAATCATTATGGATGAACCTGAAGTCCCAGCTATTCTGCAGGCTGAGGCAGGCGTATCACTTAAAACCAAGGGTTTGAGGTTACTATGAGTGAGGCTGATGCCATGGGACTATAGCCTGGACATAGAGTAAAACTTTCACCAAAAAAAGTTGCTTATCAGTCAAGGGATAATAGTATATTAAGTCACTAACATCCTAGTGAGAAAATACATATTGTGTATACCAGAAGCTTCTTTGATAGATAAATCTAGGTCAAAACAAAGTCACTGATTTTCAGGGTGGAAAGGAAGAAAAACAGGGTTGGAGAAAAGGACTTCACAGAAGGAAATGAGAAAGCATGCCTGCTCATTCACCAAAAGTTGGCTAGAATTTGACAATGGATGTCAGAAATTTTAAAAATTCTGGCACATTTTTAAAAGTGTGCAAACCACTTGACTTAGTAATTCTATTACCAGAAAAAGACTAGGTACAGAGAAAGACTTATACAAAAAGATATCATTATAGTGTTATTTTGAATCACAGACATAGAAAACAATCTACATTACTCACAGTAGAGGGATGTTTAAGTAAATTATGACCTAACCACAGGTAAAATATTATAATGGTCACTGAATGACCATTACTATTATTCTGTAACAGACAATATGTATTACAGTATATATACTTTATATAATACTGTATATTATATATAATGACTACTATTCAGTATAGTCTCAACTATATACAGAACATACATAGGAGAGAAAGCAGTTCATGGTGAGTCTATTCAAGTATAGAGGATATGTTTCTGTATTTTTTCTCCATTTTCAGATTTAGCTATGATATATTTATTATTTCTACAATTTAAAAAGTCAAAAGAAACATTTGTGCTCAGGGCGAGCTCTTTAGAGAAGCGCATTAGATTCAATCCTTTAGGTTAGCCAGCGTCCCCTCTTGTCAATCATCTTCCTGTCAATAACTTCAGGGAAGGCCTCAGGTCAGGGACCCTCATCACCCCTAGGCACACAAGGTCATCTCTGGCAGCCCATTTACTTGGCTTCCAATATTATTGTTCTTCCTCTTCTTGAAAGATTTTGCATATCTTGCCTTTCCCTCTCTAACTTAAGCTGTAGATTCTTGTGTTGGGTTTTATACTGTGCTGAGTTGCAGCCTCTTAAAAAATCTTAGGAGGAAATATTGTGCATATGTTCCACAATATTGGATTGTATACTTTAAATTGCACTATGAGGGGAGATGATGTGTTTCTTTGCTTCTTTTGTTTTCTTTTGTTTTGTTTGTGTGTGTGTGTATGTGCTCTTACTACAAAAGGACAAATGAAGAAAACAAAAAAGTAGGGACAGGGAGAAACCTTTGCAGGTGGTAGATAAATTTATGGCATTATACACGATTACGGTTTCATGGGTATATACTTATCGCCAAATGCATCAAATTGTATACAAAAGTACAGTTTTTTATGTCAACTATATATGAATAAATTGGCTTTTAAAAATTGTGTCTATTCCCTCGGGGACTTGCCATCTTGTCAGACTGACAGAGGACTTAGGTACCGTTTTTCAGAGCTTGGGGAATTGGGTATTTTGGTAACCATATAATCTTGTTAATTCAGAGCCATCATATGCATCATATATGGTTTTTAAATAAATAAAAGACTATGAAATAAGCTTATTTCAGGGTTATTACTGCAAACATCAAGGACCTCGACCCAGGACTATAAATGTAGAAACTGGGCCATCTCCCTGCTGACTCCTTCATTATTCTCTGATACCTGCTTTCAAAATAAATTTCAGATATTGACTTGTTTACTTTTCTCATGGAGCTTTCTTATAAAATGAAAAAAAAGTCACAAGAGAAAATTCTTTGTAAAGCCAAGAATTCCAATTAATGATCATTCCCTTGGCTACATTCATCAAATTATATCTGGATATTTGTAAAGACTGAAAGACTAAGAAAGATTCAATAAAGACTGGAAAAGACAGGATAAAGTTATACACCTTCAATTATCTGGTGTCAGAGGAGAATCAACTACTGTGTACATACATTTTAGCTCAACAAATCATCTGGAGAACCCTGATAAATTACTTTTGTATTACTGACCACAATCTGACCCAGTCCTTAGAAACTAGCTCTGTCTCAAATTGGCGGCTGCACCAGCAACTCCTCAGAAACAGAAAGGCAAGGACATAGGGTTGGGGATCTACTGATTTCCCATGGAGGTGATATGAGTCCATTAAAGAGTGTGGTTGGCCTTCGTATCCCACTAATATTCTTGACCGGTCTAGAACTTTTCCCTTCTTTTAATTTTCTCTGGGAAAAAAATGTCTCATCTACTATGTTGTTGGTTTGGATTTTACTTTCATCATCTCCTCTTGACCTTTGGAAACCATTGTCAAATTCAGGGACAACTGAAAGGCAGAACCATTGAAAATTTTTAAGATCATCAGATTCAAAAGTGATGATTTTCAAGGGGGGATCCAGCAAAATTACACTGGATATAGATATATGGGGTTTCTCTTTTAAAAAATGGAAGTAGCAAAGATCTAACAAAAGTTGAGAGCTCTATCAGTTCCCAGATTAATTTGTGATATAGTCATAACAACAGCTAATATTTATTAAGTTCTTAATAATAATTTACTACTATAGATAATATTAGTGAAGTAGCTCAATACTAATTGCCTTATGAAGATTTTCTCTTATAATTTTCAAGAAAACATTATGGGGATAGAATCTATAATAATTCTTGTCTTCTAGATGAGGAAACTGAGGTTTGGAGATGCCAAGTGATTTGCCTAAGTCACATTGCCAGTCAGTGTTACAACCAGGCCTAGAACCCAGGGTGATCAGCCTGGAACCTGAATTCTTAGCTTGAAGCTCTCATAAGCTTCTTGACCTTTACTTGCCTTTATTTTTAATATTTTTCTACAATATTCAGCAGTAATTTTATAATCAGAAAAGAAAGCAAAATTTTTTAAATTATGAATTATAAAATATGCCAGTTAATCGCCATCTGACATAGTTATGTCTATCTTTTAGAAGCTCTCTTTGGCACTGGCTTCTGTTGAGACAGAGCTAGTTTCGAAGGACTGGGTCAGATTGTGGTCAGTAATACAAAAGTAATTTATCAAGGTTCTCCAGATGATTTGTTGAGCTAAAATTTATGTACACAGTAGTTGATTCTCCTCTGACACCAGATAATTGAAGGTGTATAACTTTATCGTGTCTTTTCCAGTCTTTATTATTTTGAACAGGATTATCTAGTAGAATGGCATGGCCATGTGTTGAGCTGCCATTTCCTTTTCTGAATCCATTTCTGAAGCTCAGAAATAAAGATCACAGCAGCTTTATTCTAATGAAATAACAAAGACCATTATTTTTGGAAATCATGCTATATCCTAGGGTTTGTGATAGATGTCTGTGTTATTCCTAGTCTTCTCACAGCAGTGGGAAACAGATGTTAATATTACTGTATTCATTTTGGGGGGTGATATGACAGGTATCAGAGAGTTTGAGTAACTTGCCCACCAACATACAGTTAATAAGTGACTGGTATGGAATTAAAGCACAGATCTGTTAAGAGTCCAAAGCACTATCTACCATTTTATAGTGCCTCACCTGCAAAAAAACCTTTTTTTTTATTAAATCATAGCTGTGTACGTTAATGCAATCATGGGGTACAATATGCTGATTTTATATACAATTTGAAATATTTTCCTCAAACTGGGTAACATATCCTTTATAGGATTTTTCTTAGTTATTATGTTAAGACATTTATATTTTACACCTAGTAAATTTGACAGGCACCCTTGTAAGATGAACCATAGGTGTGGTCCCACCAATTACTCTCCCTCCACCCATCCTCCCCCCTCCCCTCCCCTCCCTCTCCCCTTTCTCCTTCTTCTTGGGCTATAATTGGGTTATACAAGGAAGAAAAGAGAACAAAAATGAGGTTATAAAAGAGAAGAGCTTGGGTGGCGCCTGTGGCTCAAAGGGGTAGGGCGCTGGCCCATATACTGGAGGTGGTGGGTTCAAGCCCAGCCCCGCCCAAAAACTGCAATAAAAAAAGAGAGAGAGAGAGAGAGCAACCACCACAACTATGGCAGCCCCTCTGGAAACCACTGTTCCAAATTCTGGGCTTTCGATGGATTCTAATTCAAGAGGATCCCAATCTCTCAGCCCTGACTGGCTGCCTCACAAACCTGAGGAAGATATGGGATACCAGAAAAAGTTTTCAACAACAAATCATACATCAGCCCTTCCAAAAAAGTGTGTTTCCCACAAGTTTGAGATAAGACTAAAGAAAAGGGATAGCAAAGCAGGACACCTGCTCCAGCAGTGAATACACCCTCATTGCTGGGCTGTATGTGCAGATCATGGAGAAGCAGAAGGCCAGGCTCCCTGCCTGAGTGTACATGATCTGAAGCCCCCAGGCTCTACACTCAGCAGTACTGGCCCCAGCTCCACTGCACAGAGGTGGCCAGGCAGCTCTCAAAAACAGGCTTGCTGTCCCATTCTTTCTATCAAAAGCATATTAAAACTCCAATTTGGCGAGTCTTTCTGCCACGCTACTTTAATATCCCATAGATAATTGCCCAGTTTCTATTACAGGAAGCATTCTGGCATTAAATACATAATGAGTAAAATGGAATTTGCCTTTAGCAATCAACATAAAATGTAATACCACTATGATACCCATCAATTATTCTGGCTGTGCAAATGCCTGTGAAGTCTCCAAAAGGAGCAACAAGTGAAGGGAGAAATGAAGAGGCAAAGGACCAGTTGAGATGAGAATAACAGAAGTTAGGAGTCACAGAAGTCATCTCAATCACCCTGATTAGACATCAGAAAGAAACTTGTCCATGCTTGCTCAAGTACAGTATTTGAACTTCCTAAGGATTTATGCAAAAATCAATATCTGAACATTTTTCTGTTGCAAGGCTTCATAGTCCCAATCAGATTTTCAAAGAGGTCTGGAACTCCAAAGATAACTAATAATTGCTACTCTAATTTTTTGGCATCTGGGCCAACCAGTACATAATTGTTTGTCCTTAGCAAACTTTTTTAAATTCCCCCAAAACAGAAGACTACTAAATTAATTACTTACATTGTTCCATGGAAAGGGAAAGTTGGAAATTATCTATTTAGTTGGATTATACAGACAGTCACTACAGTTCACAGGGTCTCAAAGGAAATTGCTTTTTAAAAACATTTTCTACCCTACAGCAGATCGCTATATGATGTAAATATAATCTAAATTGCATCAGCCTCGGGAATGTCTTAATAGGTAAGTATCTATCTTAGGCTAGGTGTGAGAGAAACCCCTTGGCAAAAAAAATTAGAACCCTGAAGATGAGATTTAGTATATAAAATTAAATTAAAATTTGTTATTATAATAACTGAGTTCAGGAAAAAGAAGAACTTTTGGTAACCATAATATAAAGCAGTAAGATATTCAGTGGCATTGTAGTGCTTTGGTAAAATAGACAACCTTAACGTGATGGTAAAAAGATGCTTCTATGGCATTTTCATGTAATTTAAACTACAAACAATCTAAAGAAAGCAAGGGAGATTTGACGGGTTTCATAGAAGTTCAAAGGTTATAAAATAGACTACATCCCTAGATTTTTCTCTCTAACCTTCAGTCCCACTGGTTCCCACAAATGAAAAATGGGATCAATCAAAATGGCACCCCCAATTCATGATGAAAATTATCTACACAGCTTCATGAAATCACCTGGACAAGCTCCATCATGTCTTTGACAAACCCATCCACTTCTGGGCCTTCTAGGGCTCCTGTTTTACTCTGAAAGACAAAAGATTCAATCACCCAAGTATATTTTCTTAAGTCAAAAGGCTAAAGAGTAAATTAGGCAAATAGACCAAATTAGTATTCTTGTGTAACTGTTAACAGATTTAGAAACGGTATGTTTCACTTTATGTTCTCCATGCAGGACGTGAATGTTCCACATGAATTAAAATAACTCATTGGAAATAATTCCATGTAGCCAAAAGGAGAAGCAGGAGTTTTCAGTTCTTTGGCTCTTGCAAATAGCACTAACATGACATATATTTTTCTTGCTTCACAGATACTAGGCTTTGTTCAGAATTATTAATTATACATCATATTGATCCTTTGAAGGACAGGTTGAAATTTTTTTTATTTTGCTTTATGATTTAGCAATGACTTGGTGATTATTTAAATATAGATTTTAAATCAAGGGAGACCACATTGAATGAGCATATCAGAATTATGATTTAGTCTGTGTATAAGACTCTTTCTTTTTTCCAACCATTTTATAACCCAGGCAGGCATTTTGTAAACAAAATACAGTACATATTAAGTTTCTTCTCCTAACTTCCACTTATCATAGCTTATCTACTCTCTCTCTCCTTTTTTTTTTTTTTGAGATAGAATTTTACTCTGTTGCTCCAGGCTAAAAAGTACCCTCTGTTCCTCCAGGCTAAAAGTACCCTACCTCCCAGCAACCTCAAACTCCTGGGTTCAAGAGATCTTCTAGTCTCAGCATCCTGTATAGCTAGAACTACAGGTATCCACCACAAAATGTCCAGCTAATTTGTTTTATTTACAAGGTCTTGCTATTGCTCAGGCTGGTCTGGAACGTCTAAGCTCAAGCAATCCTCTTGCCTCAGCCTCTCAGAGTGGCCCTCTTCATGTTTTCTTAATTCTGAACCTTTAACATAATATTCAAAAAATTCCACTCCGTTAGTGTATTATCCAAACACAGTAGTTGCTATCTGATAGGCACTCTCATAAATGTTTTATAAACCTGAGTAATTTAATTTTCATAGGAACCCCATGAGGTAATATTATTATCATCCTTATCACCCTAATTTTACACATAAGGGAAACAAAGCACAAGGAGGTTAAGGAACTGCCCAAGGTCAATTGGCTAATAAGCCAAAATTCAAACCTAATGGTCACAGAGGCCATGTGTTTAATCACCTTATGCTACACTGCCTCTCCCAAATGAGACTCTTCTGCTCAGAATATGACACATAGATATTCAATCTGATTAGTTTCAGGGAGACATATGACCTTTCTCAGCTTTCTGCTCTTCTTCCTTCCTACATTATTCTACCATGTCCTTAAGAAATTCTCTTTGCCATACTTTTTACTTTAGAATTATTATTGTCTTCCTTCTGGAGAAGGATCAAATAATTGGTCTTATAAGAAAAATAGTTTTGGCTCGGCGCCTGTGGCTCAAGCGGCTAAGGCGCCAGCCACATACACCTAAGGTGGCGGGTTCGAATCCC